TGTTTTCCGCGTCTAGATTCAAACTGAGTATGATAATAGGATTGCTGTAATCTTCAGTCAATGGCAACGGGTCTTCATTCCAGAACTCACATTTTTAGTTGATTCTCCGTCATAGTTCTTGTCTAAAGTCCCCATATCTGCTCTCTTACTGCCATACTTGCACACATTTCCAGTGGTTTCAGTAACCTTGTGTACAAGAGGCAGATGGAAAATACAAGAGGCGGCATTCAAAATAACCAATTTTACGCTCCCGACAATGCAAATTCTTGTTGTTTTAGAGTCCATGGACCGTAAGAAAGATGTCCAAGATTTTACTTTTGCAGGTTTGTCATCAAAATTTCCACGTCACGTGTGATGTGGCAAGACATGGGCTCCACAAAATAACACCTGGAACTATGGAATGACTAGGGCAACTTATACAGAATGTCAATTACCTTTTATAAGATAACTCACCCTTCCAGAGGTTGCATTTTACAAATTCAAATGCACCTGTTGAATTGAACACTTTTGATGTAAATCAAAATCTAGAATTCTCATTATTAAAATGAGAGTGATGTATTAATAGATGATTCACTTGTGATTATGTGTATATCAGATTCATTTTAGTTTTTTACCACTTCCAGACATTGCCAGAAATGGTGACATACAGGGTGTTCCAAAAGTAACAGGACTGGTCCTGGTATTCTTTTAGATATGCACCAATTGTCTCCAAAATTTTACATAATGTACCTTCATGTATTGTATCTACAATTGCAAAGTTTCGACAAAAATTATGTAATTCAGGTAGAGTTATGGTTGCTATGGTAACATGATATCACAATAACCGGGGCAGCATTACACGCAGAGAGTTACAGAGACTTTGTACATCACATGTCAAAGTTGAAATGCAACAACTGGAGGGAATTTTTGCTTTACATCATTTGATATTGTAATTCAAAATTGTATCCTCTACTTTGAAAAGTAGACTCTTTGGTCAGTACACGAGTAGAACTCTGTATCCATGGTATCCATGACTCAAACATATGAGTGAATCGCAGCGTCGATTGAACAACTTGGAGAAGGTCATTGTCATATTTAAAGGTTTTACTGCGCCGACTATAGATATTGCATGATCAGAAGAGTATTGCGCATGGACACAGTGGTCTTTAATGCTGACTTGCGGGCAGACGGCTTATGGAGATGGATGACCAGCTTCAAATTTGGGTCTTTTCAAAACTCAACTGTGAATTGTGCAGACTTTTATACAGAGTGATAATCCAGGAAATTGAATAAATATTATTTAATGGATCATGCTCGAATCTGAGTTGTATAGCAATACCATTACAACGAAGCAACAAATAAAACAAACAAGAATTGTTGTATTGTAATAGGTGAATTAGATACATATACACTGTAAATTGCGTTTCAATCGTTTTAATCAGTTTGAGGATGAAGAAATAAATATTTTCTTCATCCTAGATCAGTTCAACCGTTTCAATGCAAGCATAATTTCCTACTATTCAATGCTTACGTCATTTAGAGCATTTCAAACGTTTCACTCGATAAGTCTTCGAAAAGGAAATCGAAATTTTTCCGTTTGTGCCTGTTTCGTCGTTTCAAGCTTTTCAATCACAACCAATATTCATGAAGAAATGGGCAAAACTATTGGAAAAAACGAAGACGCACGTTTTTCGTTTCAAATTACTGTTTCGCTACTTGCGTTTGTAGTTTCGCCATTTCAAGCATTTCAATCAATTTGCCTGACCTACTTTTAAGTTTATTAATCATTTTCATTTCAACCATTTCAAGCAATTCGGCTGTTTTGCCTCCATTTCAACCATTTCGTCTGCCAGTGTATACACCCCTCTACTGTTTACCTTCACTCGTTTGCAAGAGAGAGACCGAGGCGGGAGATATCCCCCTCCCCTCTACACCAAACTTGCTCTCACTAGGTTTTCGAAAATTGGCTGAAAGGCCTCCTCACACATTATTAAGGAAAACATATCTACACTTTTTGCGCATTTAACCATTTGAAAACATATTGTGGATCTTATCTTAATTTTTTGTTAATGTGAATTTGCACCTTCATTTGCATGGAAGACTTTGATAAAATCTTTTTTTTTTATGATCTTTGTTAGAAAGCTGATGTTTGGCTAAGCTTCGAAATTCCATTCCATGTTTTCTTTATAATATTTGTCGAGCTAAGACTGCTCAAACAAATTCGCTTTTTTCAGCTACAAGTATTTGATTGCAATAGATGATAAACTTCTCAATATAAGAAATTACCCTCATAAGACATTGTTGCAAGGTGTGTTGTAATGAATGTGACACCCCGCATTGATGATGTATAGATAGTTATTTTATATAGTGTTTTTAGTTGAACGTCGAAACCTATTCTAACCAGGAAGGATATTGCAACTTTTTTCAAGATCCTAAAGTTGCAATTTTCGCCATTGTGTTTCATTGCGAAAGTGTGTCGCTGGTACAAAGGCGTAGTTCTAAATAAATTTAAGATACACGTTTTTTTAAACTTGTACGTGAACGTGTAGAATTATGGACCTGATGGATTTTTTCTCCCTTTTGTACTGTGAATACTTGGCCGGTTAAGTATAAAGGTATAAATGTTCCAGCTTTTGGTAAGTGGTGGGTCAACCCCCCCCCCCCCATCCACACATACACTTTTTATCATGCTTAAGTAACTTCGCATTGTAATAACAAGGGTGATATTAACGAGACACCAGGATGATAAGGTAGGGGTACAATAGAGCCCAAATCTTGAGAAAGAGTCAAAGACATGCGAGGCGAATCTTGGAAACTCGGGTTCGGCAAAGCGGGGTTCACTGTTTGGTTCCGTTGACACCTGTGCGAAACTACATTCATAATTCCTACGACATTCGCTTTGATAATGTTTCTTTATCTCGTCTGCGACGAGATAAAGAAGAATTATCAAAGCTCATCAAGAATGGACGATCTCGCACAGGTACTCATATAAGAACCTCTATATCTTTTTAACACCAATATAAAGATTGAACAACGGACACACTATGTTAAAAATAAAATGTTATATCTAATGTGCAAATTCAATGATTTAGCATATCGAAAATATTTTCAACCTAAGTGACCACATCGTGACATCACTTAGGTGGCAATATTTTTCAATGTCAATCTTTTCTAAATATGCTAAACTTAAAAAATAAACCAATGTTGACTGCTACCAGGTTAAAGGGATGAATATATTATGTTTTTAATATTATTTTACCATTGGTTTCTATGAGAATTAAAATTTTGAAATGCATCTTTCCCTGAACCACTTTCATGCATGGATAAATTCATTGCTCGCTTATCTATCAACCAATTTTTTTAATTTTGTCGGCAAAAAAACAAGTGAGGATGAATCGTGCTATGCATCGGTGTGAATTATCGCTTTAAAGGATAAGTGTGACCTCTAAAAGTTAGTTTTAAATAAATTCACGATATTTTGAACAAAAAGTCCTTCAAAAAACATTTTTGAAATTCATGAAAAGTTTCACATTTCACACTTTGATAACATTGGATAAAACAACAATATAAGCCAAAGTGGATAAATTTTATATGGGGCCTTTAACTGATTAACACAATTTTACACCCATTGGAAAGACTGTAGTGTGGCTGTTTGGACAGAGTTATATCAATCATACATGTAACTGCATGTCCAGTGGAAAAACAACTCTGATTATACCAAAGGTTGGAATTTGAATTATCATGCACATGACAGTGGTCAGACAGTGATCTAAAATGCATAGCCCAAACGGGTAAAAATTACTCCGTTGTTAACTACTATAATGAGATCATGTGATCTTTACGAAATATAGTGAGTTCCATTGCAGTTCGAAATTGAGTTACAAATCATAGACAAGGAAGTGCAAAACAAGATCGCTGAATAAAATAAAGGATAGGCTATAGACGACTTTAAATTTCCCCCCAAAACTTAGACAATATTTGACTTCTAACAAACGGCGAAATATCGAAAACAAACGGTGATTTCGGACACTCGCCCCCTGCTATTGAAAGCCCAGATTTCCCCTCCTTAAATTGTCTTCATTCAAATTACACCCTCTCGCCGATTTATATAGCCATTTCCCAAACCCGGGAATCAGAATCGCTGATGTTTGCCATATTGAACATATTATATGTACTGTAATATCTGTACATTGCCTGCTACGCGTAATGGTCATGTGACTAGCGCAATACAGGAAAAATGGGGAATTTCGAAACAACAAGTTTTGGGCACTTTTATTGCAAATTTCAGGTATTTATAAAGTGTTTGTGGTATAAAATATAATCCACAGACATAAATGAACATCCAAACTACATATTTCATTAAGTTTTGGAGCCTTTTTTGCTCTTAAATTAACATCTTTAAATACCAAAGAGCATCCATTGTTGAGTTATAAGGAACAGAAAAGGAGTGATCTGATCGATTGAATAACATAAAGATAAATTGTCATTAATTTTTCATAAAGTAGGTACCTTGATCATATCTTCATAGAAAATTATTAATAGCTTGTCTTTCAGTTGATCTTTAACCTTCATCCAAGATTCAACATGCTGAAGCCATGTACCACATCCCACTAAAAAGAAAATTCCACCTACATGATTAAGATGAGATTTTGTGTGACTTTCAAGACTTCATGACATGTTTATTGGTTTATTTTATCATATGTCTTATGTGAGTATGTCCATGTTTCAATATTAGCAAAGTAGTTTTCTTGTGTAGATGAACTGCTAAAAAAAGCTGCTTGTAACTCAAAAGCTGTAAAAATTGACCCCTGCAATGAAAGCCAAAATTTGCCTCATAAGTCTGAAGTATTTAAGCCAAGTATGCTTTAAATAAATACATGATATATTATCAGTAATTGATAGAGTGCTACTTTAATTTATAAATTGTCCCTGACTTTTCATACCATGGACTATTCCATGTTATTGATCGTTAAAAATCTTACCTTTTTCTCCATCATTTCTCATCTGCGAGTTCATCATCATATCAACTGTAATTGGCTCAGTAAAGGCTGTTCCAAAAGCATTGTACATAAAAGTGTTGCTGACTATCACAGACTTTGGGTTTCGTAACACAAGAATTGTCTAAAAAGAAGAGGATTACAATCAAAGACAATCAGATTTATAGGTGGTTACAAAATTGCAAGCAACATTTACAATTGGCCAACCAAGTCATTCCTTGTGATATCAATTAAAATATCTCAAAAGATCTGTGATATGTTATAAATTTGTCGAGTTATTAAGGATTCAAAGTGCAATGATGGGGGAAATGGGTTAAAGTTCTTCAAAATTATAAAAATGGTAACCATAAAGCTAGAAAAATGATACTTTATCGTATGAATCTTTAGTATTCCTGGAAGATAGTATTATGCATTTTTAGGATTTTTAGAAAATAGACATGACAAGGAATGACATGAAACAAAAATATTCTAAAATGGAAAGAATGTTTTTGTTTTCTTGCTTGCTAGATCTGATTCTCTGCTTAACTTCTACAGAGTGACAAAATTTCTCGTCACCTCAGAAATGACCTTGAAACCTATTGTGACAAAATAATCTGTCATAAATTCTTTCACTAAAATTGCTCTAATTTGAACAATTTTCATCCAATCTATTCAAAGTATGTTTTAAAATGTGTAGAAATTATCTCTGCCATCTGATTTCACTAAATTGAGCACCACCTGTTGTATATGTACAATGTTCATGTACACGTATGTTGTTAAATGTCAAAAGGTGACAATAATAAAAAATTCTTTGGTTCCAAACTAATTTGAGAGCCTGGGATTCAAGAGGTTCAAGAAGGAATCTATTACTTATTGTATCATTAAAAACCACATTGAGACTTATGTTTTTGAGTCTCATTTGAATCATCACAGTGAGATTCTTGATCTGAGAAATAACAAGTACATGTATAGGAATTTAGGAAACCATATAAACAATGCATCTACATTCTATACCTTGCATTTACCCTGGAGGACCCCATCAGGCATGAATGAAGTTTGTTGATGAGTTACCAGTAGTCTTGGAGACTGCATCTTCTGTACTTCATCATAACAGCTACCATCTGCCTCATCTTCAAGTACATTAGTCTCCCCTCTCCATGCTAAAGTTTAAACATAACATTGATCGATAGCATACGTGTATACAGTACATGTATACAAAATTACTTGAATCTTCTATGAAGAGTATTTCAGATTCTCTGACATCCATTATCTCAGGTTGTTCATATGTCTTATCTGAATGCCATTGGGACCAGTTAAAAGCTTTCAGATTAGGACGTGTTCTGATTTCAATGTATTTTGCATCCTCAAGATTCTGGATTTTTATGATGATTGAGACCACTTGGTGTTTTTCTTCATACTGTTACCTCTGTATCAAGCGTTAAAAGGCTATTTTCCCCATTTACTAAACTGGCAACCCCTGTATCAAACACTTGTTCAGATTATAATATAATCAGGCCTGAATAAGTAAAGCTATGACATAATGTTTTATACCAAATCATATGAATGAATTTCCTTGTATTTTAAGAATGGTAAAGAATGCTGTTTAGTAATAGACTGTACCTTTGTTTGATATTTCTAGGCAATGAAATCTTTGATGAATATGTGCTTTGATGGCATCTGTGTCACCATTGTGTCTCACCAAGTCCACAAGTTCAGCTGTCCAATGAGTTCCTAAAACAAGATATATGAATTCAATAATGTGAACATCAAATCAAACTATGTTCTATCTCGTTTCACCATTTGTTATCTCAACGAATGAAGTTTGCTAGGGATATAGTGAAGCCCATCATCTATCTGCCTGTCTCTCTGTCCATCCATTGGTATAACTCAAATACTAGTTGCTGAATTGTCCTAATGTATGGTGGAAAGATGTACAATAGCAGCTTGCATTTTTTCAAAGAATTTATATTTCATATTTTTTATGAGAAAGAGCTGGTTAAAGACAAGAATTCTCATTGGTTTTGAAACCTGTTTCAAAGTTTTATAGCTTTTTATGTCCCCGCCACATAGTGTGGGGCTATATTGTCATCCTAGGTGCGTCTGTCCATATGTCTGTCTGTCTGTATGTACGACATTATTGTCCTTAACCGCACGAGATACCATCTTCAAATTTTCAGGGATAACTTATGAGTACATACAGATGTGGTACAGAAAATTTCGACTCAATACCTACTTCCTGTCGGCTATTTTGAAGTCAAATGCTAAAATCCTTGTCTGCAAACTTTTAGAAAAATGGCTTCTCAGTTACTTTTAAAACTTTAACATCTTGTTCAAATCACTTCATTTTACATCTGATTAGGTTTTTGACCTGTTAGCTCAGTCATGGCAGCCATTTTGAATGTCTTAAGAAAAGTTAGCGAGTGATAATACTTTGTTTCATGTCAGAATGGTGTTTTTAAGTTTTCATACTTTAACTATTTAGTAGCTTTATAAATAATTTCAGGTGTCCTGTGTTGTAAAAGCTTATGTAACTGTTAACAGTAGTTGTATGTGATAATTTTATAAAAAGAAATCAGCAAAAACTCATAACTTTTTATTGTCGGCCAATTTGGATTTTTCTGTCCTAAAATCTTGTTTGTAACGTCTTGTCTATGCGTTTTCAGGCTTACTGTTCCACGGGACAATTTCAAATTTTCAGGGCTAGTTCTAAGTATGAGAATCTAGAACTGATTAGTTTTTCGGTATTCTGGGTAAATTCTAAGGTGGCCATTTTGGATTTTCCGTCCTAAAATCTTCACTTTCAAGACTTGTCTACAGGTTTCCAGCCAAACCATTTGAGGGATTCATCTGAAATTTTCAGGGATGATTCTACATATCAACGTCAAGAACTGATTAGTTTTTGGGCATTCTGGGTAAATTTTAAGGTGGCCATTTTAGATTTTCCGTCCTAAAATCTTCACTTTCAAGACTTGTCTACAGGTTTCCAGCCAAACCATTTGAGGGTTTCATCTGAAATTTTCAGGGTTGTTTCTACATATCAACGTCAAGAACTGATTAGTTTTTGGGCATTCTGGGTAAATTTTAAGGTGGCCATTTTGGATTTTCCGTCCTAAAATCTTCACTTTCAAGACTTGTCTACAGGTTTCCAGCCAAACCATTTGAGGGATTCATCTGAAATTTTCAGGGATGTTTCTACATATCAACGTCAAGAACTGATTAGTTTTTAGGCATTCTGGGTAAATTTTAAGGTGGCCATTTTGGATTTTCCGTCCTAAAATCTTCACTTTCAAGACTTGTCTACAGGTTTCCATCCAAACCATTTGAGGGATTCATCTGAAATTTTCAGGGATGTTTCTACATATCAACATCAAGAACTGATTAGTTTTTGGGCATTCTGGATAAATTTTAAGGTGGCCATTTTGGATTTTCTGTCCTAAAATCTTCACTTTCAAGACTTGTCTACAGGTTTTCAGCCAAACCATTTGAGGGATTCATCTGAAATTTTCAGGGATGTTTCTACATATCAACGTCAAGAACTGATTAGTTTTTGGGCATTCTGGGTAAATGTTAAGGCTGCCATTTTAGATTTTCCGTCCTAAAATCTTGTTTATCGAGGCTTGTCTACAGGTTTCCAGCCAAACCGTTCAAATTTTTACATATGTTACACAGTGATAAGTTCTAGAGCTGATTAACTTTTCTGCGGCCATCTTGCTTTCTTGGTCAACAAGACCACAATGCTGTGTTTTAGGTACAATATTGTTCACGTCTGTGCCTTGTTATTATATTGTATTTGTGGTAGTAATAGACCTGGGAGTATGAATAAAGCTATCAGAAAGAATAAATATGTTTTGGAAAGTTGTGACATAAACAAACTTGCCCCACCTTTTTTTTTTTTTTTTTTTTTTTTTTTTAATTTTTTTTATTCCTTCATTCTTACTTATGTACATGTATATGTAAATATAAATATGTACATGTAAATGTAATGCAATTAATAATATAAATAAAATTTACGTAGACAAAAAAATACACTTATAGTTATGTTGTAAATGTATGTTGACTAAATGAATGTTGAATAAAATTGCAATTGTTGTTGATTGTTGATTGATAAAAAAATGAGCAAGAATAAAGTGTATGTAAAACCAATGCAAGGGGTGTGCTTTCATATCCTATTTTGATGCTGTTTACTATATGTTGTAAAGGGATCTACAATGTTTTTATTTACTGCTTGAAATCTTTTGAGCAGTTTTCCATGCTTTGTCATGGGCTTCTAACTTGTTATTCTTCTCTGCATTGCTTCTGCTTATGATTTCCTGGGCTTCAACATATTTCTTGAGGCCTGTCATATTTGGTGGTTTATTGTCTAATTTGTTGAGATAGATGTAGTGTTTAACCAAGAGTAGCGTCAGGTTTTCTCCCAAACTGGTGTTCTCTCCTAGGAAGTATTTTGCTCTTGTCAGGTTTTGTATTTGACACAGTTGGGTGACCATCTCTATGAATGGTTTGACAGCTATACATTCGTATAGTCCATGTTCGATGGTATCCTGTTTGTCTTCTTTACACAATTCACATTGTGGGCTTGTTTTGATTTTCATATTGTGTAGCATTTTGTTGAAAATATTGTTCGAAGTAATATTCTATATTGGAAATATCTCAGTTTTGTTTCCTTTGTTGTTATGTATATTCTACAGTAGTTGCTTTTCCAGTTTATATTTGTGTTGTCTATCGCCTTTTCCCATAGTTGTTGTTGTTTTATTGGTTCTTCAGTGTGGCTTTTTATTAGTATGTTATATGTATCCTTATTCGTCATTGTTTGTAGTTCCTTTATAGAAATGGATTTTTCTTTCACATCAGTTTCTGTCTCGGTCCTTCTCGGTGTTTTTATTTGGTTTCTCCATTCAGCTGGTATGCTGTGTATGATGTGGTACCATTGAATGAATGTTGTGTTTATTAAATCAAATTTCCTTTTCAGTGCTTGGTACGGGATTAATTGATTGTCCTCATACAACTGTTTGATATATATTATCCCTTTGGATTTCCACCCCTCTATATATAAGGTCTCTCTTCTATTTTGTACATGTCTATTGTTCCAAATTATCTGGTTTTCGGGTGTATGGATGTCCTTGTACTCCTTATAATGTATTGCACACCATGCATTGAATACGTCCCTTGCTGCTGTAAGTTTGATGTTGCTGGCAATCATCGGATTGATTTCTCTGAGGTTGTATTCCCATGCATGTTCTCTGATATCTTCAAACTGCTGTTGCCAGAGTATTTTCCACTTACTTTTTATGTTGTCGTCCGTTAATTTTTTAATCCATTTGAGTTTTAATTTATTAGCAAGTGATGGAATATGCGTCATTTCAAGACCTCCATAAGGTATTCCCCCTCTTAATGTTTTTCTTGCTATTTTGTCCGGTTTTCCGTCCCATATAAAATCAAATAGTATTCTTTCTAGTTCTTTGGTCATTTCAGCTGTTGGTGCTTTTAACACTGACATTGGATATGTTAACTGTGATAAAAGTAGTGACTTTATAACCACGATTTTACCCATCAGGGATAGATTTCTTTGCTTCCATATTTGTGCTAATCTTAGTATAGTCCTGATTGGTTTGCTATAGTTGATTTCTTCTATGTTTCTTCCATCTATCGGTATTGTTAAGCCTAGGAGGTTAATCTCCTTTTCTTCTAGATTCACTCCAATATTTGTGCATATTCTCTGTGTCTTTTGTTTGTTTATCTGGTTGTCTTTTCCAATGGTAACTACTGTTGTCTTTTCTTTATTGATTTTAAGTCCTGATATCATCTCAAATTTATTAAAAAGATCTAGTGCATTTTCTAAATATGAGGCGTCTTTAAGGAACAAGCAGGTATCATCTGCATATTGCGAGATTCTGAGTTCTTCGTTTTCTGTTAGATTGATACCTTTTATTTTGTCTGTCTTCCGTGTAGCATTGCTAAGAACTTCTGCACATAGGATGAATATGTAAGGACTCAATGGGCAGCCTTGTCGTACACCTCTTTCAAGGTTGAAGTACCTGGATGTAAAGCCATTGTTTATTATAGTGCTGTTTATTCCATTGTAGAAAGTTTCAACCCAGGCTATTAAGTCTGTGCCAAAATTAAAATACTTCAAGGTTTTATAGATGAATTTCCACTCCAATGAGTCGAATGCCTTTTGGAAGTCGATAGTTGCCATAATGCCATTCTTTCCTTGTTGAGTCAAGTGTTCCATTACATCTAGTGATAGTCTTATGTTCTCACCTATGTATCTGTTTGATATAAATCCTGTCTGGTCTACGTTGATAAGTTTGTAAAGAACTTTTTTAATGCGTTCTGCTATGGCCTTTGTCATTATTTTGTAGTCGTTGTTAAGTAGGGTTATGGGTCTCCAGTTCTTTATTTTGTTTGGATCTTTACCTTTTTTGGGTATTAGAGTAATTATTCCTCTTTTTTGTTCTATCGTCATGTCTTTGTTATTTTTTGAGTAGTTGAAGCTTGCACACATTGGGTCTATGATGTCATCTACAAATGTTTTATAAAATTCACTGGAGAGTCCATCGCTTCCTGGGGTTTTGTTGTTCTTGAGGTTTGAAATTTGTTTTCTGCATTCATCTGCTGTTATATGCCCTTCACAATTTTGTTTTTCATCTTTGTTTAGTTCCAGGTTTTCTCCTTTTGGGAAAAAGTCTTTATCAAATTTAGTTGTTTCTACAATTCTTGTTTTATATAATTCACTGTAAAACTTTGCTTGTTCCTCACTTATTTGTTTTTGGTCTGTTATTAGGACGCCTTCTTCATCTTCAATGGCTGTCATGGTTTTGTTTATGTAATTGTGTTTTTCAAGATTTAGGAAGTATCTTGTTGGCTTTTCTCCTTCATCTACCCATTGACATTTACTTCTAAAGATAGCGCTTTTAGCCTTCTCTTCTTGCATTAAGTCTATTTCGTTCCTTATTTTTTCAGCTCTGTCTGTTAACTTCTGTCTTTCTGGATCGGCGAGTGATTTATTGTTTTCCTGATGTTCAATCATAATTACTTGGCCAATTTTAATATCTAGTTCTTGTTTTTTCTTCCTCTTTTTCTCTGTTGCGTAGCGTCTTGTCTCCATTTTAATGTTAAATTTGATTAATTCCCATAAACTATTTGGGTTGAGGTTTTCATTGTTCTGCTCTACATTGTTGATTATTACTTTTATGCTTTCTACATATTCTTTGTCTTTGAGTAATGTGTTGTTAAGTTTCCAGATGCCCGGTCCCCTCCTCTGGTTTAATAATTTGAGTTCAAGTTTTACTGGTCTATGGTCAGCAATTTTCCTTTTCACCATTGTTTCATTTAGAATCTCTGTATTCTTTGTTTGTTGGTAGATGTCTCTAGTTACTAGAAAATAGTCTAGTCTACATTTAATTGTGTTGTCGTGATTGTTCCAAGTGTATTTTCTACTGTTTGGATGTTTTTGTCGCCATACATCGCATAGGTCGTGTTCCTCTATCATATTTGTAATAAGCGCCCTTGTTTAGATATGTGAAGCTTGTCTTCCACCTTCTTTGTCCTTTGATATATCTAATGGGACATTGAAATCTCCTCCAATAATGATTGAGTTTTCATTTTTGTCTCTTAGTTTTTCTTTAATATTTTGAAATAGATTGCTGTCGTCATGGTTGTGGCCGTAAACATTTACCAGTGTAATGAGTTTGCCTTTTAAGAGGCAGTCCATGATGATGAATCTCCCGTCTTTGTCGATATCACAGTTTATGATTTCAGGGTTAGGAATACATTTTTTGTTTATTAATGTTGCTACTCCAACTGAATTTGTAGCTGTAGTTGTGAAGTAGGCTTCTCCTCCCCATTGTTGCTTCCAGTTCTTGTCTTGCCCTTTTCCGCAGTGCGTTTCTTGTAAGAATGCGATGTCAAAATTATCTTCTTGTATATATGTAAATATTTTTTTACGTTTGACCTTGTCCTGTAGACCCTTTACATTAACTGATACTATTCTAATTGACATTTATACAGATTTGTTATGTTACCCTTGCATTGGTTTATACATTTAATTATTATTTTAATTGAAATAAATTTTGCTGAAATCTTATATAAAGAATGTTGCTCGTAGAGCGTATTGGGATGATAGTGGAATTCTACCATCTCAATAAGAGGTCGAGATAAAAGCTTTAGGAGTGCGTTGAACTTACATTAAAGAGGCAGGTTTAAATAAATTCTTACTGTTTGATTCTAACTCAAAAGTTGTTGAGAATTTGATTTGCTGTACGCTAAAAAAAAAAAATAGTTGCGTAAATTGAATAAAAGTTCAGTCTTAACTAATGTCTATTTTGATCTGTAAGGGTAAAGAATTATTTTTTGTTCAATCTCTTTGTGATGATTTCTTTGTATATATCGTCCATATTTACTGGATTGCCGTCAATATATACTCTAACCCCTACCCACTTGACCTTCTTTCTTTGTTGTTTGGCCTCTTTTGTATATAATTTGTAGGCTAGGTTTTGAATTGCACGGGCATCTTCAGGTAGGTCTTCTCCAATTCTCACATTGCTTTTTGCTTTCTTGGACCAGACTAGCCTTTTAATCGCATTCGCTTCCTTTTCCGATTCGAATTGTATTAGTACACCTTTTTGTTGTTTCGGTTGCTATAGCAACCACAACTCTACCCTATCAAATAGAAGAAGCTTTAAATTCACAGAATAAAGGTAAAAAGGTTTGGGCTACAAACTCTGAAAATTTCATCAAGATTGGTGCAATATTAAGAAAGTCACAATATCTTTCACCTTATTTATTGGACACCCTGTACATCAAAAACTGTCTTTCTTGTATCATTCATTGTATACTTCAGAAATCGTATATGGATTCACATGTGCTTTGTTAAGGTGGCCTAAAATGCTGCTTTTTTCGTGAAGCCACTCAGTAAAATTACGTTTTCTCTGCACCCTGATGTCCAATCAACATCATTTGACGGGATCACCCATTGGTGGGGACATTTTGTACACATTTGTGTTCTTGTATATTAAATACAATGGAAAAACTAACCTGATCTCATATATGATGCTATCAATATGTCATCCTCTCTTATCGGTAGTTTGTTTAGTTTTTTGAGAGTTGGCCAATCAAAAAATGATGTGAAAAAACAGCCATTTATTATCTCATATGACATCTATGGCTGTTTTCTTTGTATCTGTGATTGTGTATTTCGGAGTATATGCACTTATGTACTATACTTATTAACTCAAAGTGTTTGTATGCTTATGTTCTGACTGTACTTGCTATAATGACTTGAACTTTGAGACTTTGTTAAATAATATATGTTGCTTCAGTCAGTCACATATAGTGTCGTGTTGATCTGTCTAGGGTCACCTTCTAAGTTCTTATAGGGCCCTCTTATAGTTATGCTGGATAAAACAGTTTAATTAAGCTTGTATTCGCGAATGAAAATAGCGGCTACCAGCTAGCGGGTTGATTGCAATTTGATAGCAAACTCATTCAAATATGAATAGTATCTGCCTTGCATCCCGTTAGTTAGCTCTTGCCCCGAAACCCAGTAGCTGAGCTAAATAACGATTTAAACTGGTATTAAAGCAGCAGGAATTGTAAATAGCTGAAGTACACCTGGCGCATGTGCATAGACACAAAACACATTTTAAGTTTGTTTGATCATGTGACAATGGCATAAAACGCCACACGATCACTGTTAGTCGACAAATGGGTTGTTGTTATTGCAGCTTCAAACTGATGGATTAATTTATGCAAATCAATAGGTTAATCCGGTAGCTGCTATTTGCATTCGCGAATACAAGCTAAGATTATGTAATTTATTACTTTGAATCAGGCACCATGTCATGTGTTTAAAGTAGAACCTGTTTGTTATCAAAACTTCTATAAGGTATTTTCATGTTTTCGAAGTTTTAACAACTAGGCTTGTGATATAGTTACACAGGAGGTTAAAATATGAACCCTTTTGTTTTTTGAAGGTTTTTGGGTTCATAAGTGGTGGTACAGATTCACAAAGAGATTTTATCTGTGAATGCATACTGCACCACTTATACATTATAAATTAATAAAATTAATAATTAGATAAAATTACAACTATCAACTTTGTTGCTGGGATGAATTAAAGACCATCTATCTTTGAAACACAGAAAAATAACAATCTAAAGTGAATAACTGGAGTTATACAGACATTTTTCAACAGAGCATTTCTGTAACTGTTTTTTATTGCTGAACTTCAAACTAAATGATTCTGTTCATTCATACTGAAACTTTATCCCAAGTGGATTCGAGTTTGTCTTTGTAATAAGCATCTACAGCCTCACTCTGGGCTAGTCATATGGCTGAAACTACCAGGTCATCTGTGAGAATATAGTCCGGAGTAGGGATACTAGCGGTTACCGTTGGTTATTTGGTTTTCTGTATAAAAAAGCTTTTCTCCTTTTCTGTCCCGTCGCAGCGCCATCTAGTGTTTGATAAATGAATCAAGGTTTATTTTCGATAGGGTAAGTACTAATCTATCAGGAAACATTTACAAGTTTGGTTAGAAACAGAATTTTTATAGATGGCGGAGTGATTTTTGAGACTATGTAGAGCAGAATAATTTTCTGAAACAGGTAGCTTTACGGTGGTAGCTCTCTCCAGATTCAGTTATCTCAAAAACGGTGTGGTCACCGTATGCTTATTTTGTAACAGCAAGGTAGACAAGACTCCAATGAACACTGGGCACTGTTTCGCTGAGCTAGATCTGTGCCCATGAATATATTATGAAATGAAACGTTATAATGGTCGTCAATGGGATTTTTACTGCAATCTTGACCCTGACCATTTATTCATACTGAAACTTTAGTCAAAGTGATTCAAGTTTGTCCTTGTAGTAAGCATCTATAGCCTCACTCTGGGCTAGTCATATGGCTGAAACTACCAGGTCATCTGTGACCATTTATTCATACTGAAATGTTAGTCCAAGTCCAAGTTTGTCTTTGTAATAAGCATCTACAGCCTCACTCTGGGCTACGGTCATATGGTTCTTCCAATCATCTATAGTGCCTGAAAATATAAATCTATTATTAACTCTCTACTCTGAGAGAAATATCTTAATCATATGAAAAAATTAGATTCTGGTCAAGTCGATTATGATGTCCATAACATCTTGGTAGGTTGATCGATTACCCTTCCTGTATCTTGTTGGTTGTTTTGTTATTCTAGTATATAATGTCTCTATTGCTGACACTTTCCCCTTTTTTCTTTTCTATTGGTATATTCAACCCCTGATATCTACATACTCTTTGACTCACCTTTTCTCATATGTTGGTTACTAGAGGAATCTTGTAAACCTACAGTTTTGACTGATCCATAAAATGCATCTCCAGTTGCTGGATTGGCTTTCATCTGTTTAAACTGGAGGTGATGAACCATTTTAGCAAGTTCTTCATCTGTAAACTCTTTTCCCAGAAACTTGGCTACCGATTTGACAACATTAGTCAAGTCCTGTAATAAAAAAGTATTGATACTTGAAAATATTTTACAAAACTGGATTATTTATTTTCTTGTGATTTTTCGAAAAAATTTCATAAAAATAATATTATGTCAATATTTATGTACCTTGAAAATATTGTAAATACTTTAAATATACATGTATTGTAAATAATCTATGTACCTTGACAATGTTTTCATAGAAGATTACAAGTAATTTTTCCTTGAGTTGTTCTTTCACGTTCATCCAAAATTCAACATGTTGAAACCAAGTACCCTCTAATGCTAAAAAGGGGAGCATTCAGCAAAAAGACATGTAAAAGATAAAACATTTGAATTTAAGATCAAGTGGTGTTATATTGTTATAGCCTTCATTTTTGTGACTTGTATTCAGCCTTAAGCATCAGTATCGACAGTTGCATCTGTAATTTGTTGTTACATATTTCCAACCATTTGCAAGTGATGCCATTTTATCATGAAGATGTTTTGTTAAATGTTGTTTTTACATGTATATACATGCTACATAAAAGTACATATGTATTTGATACTCATATTTTGTCGATTGGGAACTTTACTACCTTTACTACCAGTGTCAGTCATCAATGAGTTCATCATAATATCTACTGTAATGTGATCAGTGAATTTCGGCCCAAATCCATTCAACATGAACATAAGGCTGACCATCACAGATTTTGGGTTCCGTATTACTAAGATGGTCTGAAATAGAAATGTTTGAACTTGTTATTATGTTATTATGTAAACCAATGTGTCATATATGATTTTACTTTTCCTAGAAATAAGAAAGAAAGTAAAACACCAAACTTTGGCAACCTCCAGTATATTTATTTCTATAATTTTGAAATCTGTATTGAAACTCCAAAATAGGTGACAATTTATGTTACAACATAATATCTCATATAACTAGTGCAATCACATTACAAAATCTGTTCACAAAAAAAGCCATGCTCGTACCTTACATTTCCCCTTGATAACATCATCAGGCATGAATTTAGCTGGGAGATGAGATGCCAGTAACCTAGGAGACTGCATCCTCTCTAGCTCATGAAAGCTCTGTCCCTTTGGCTCATTCTTGAAGCAATCCAATTCACCTTGCCATGCTAAAGGATTTAGTGATTACATTAGAGAGATTTCGCTCATATTTGAAGGCATAACTTATGTTTAAGCATATAGATATATGTTATTAGTATAAGTGAATTGAAGTTTGTTGTTTCGCAAAAATTTGTATTTTAACATATACATGTAGAAATATACTTTCATCGATCAATTCTAATGTTCTTTTCACCAAGAATGAATCGTTTTCTCCTCCAAATTCCTTGTTCATAAGGTGGATTAGCTAGTAATATGACTTCATGCCAAATATCACTACAATTTCCTACCAATAACTATATCTTATTGAGATAAGAATTTATTTATTTACTTATAAACTACTTTTTATAAGTGATGGCTCTATAAATGGAAAGAGCTGAGCGACAAGTGATGACATAGTACATACATTTTATACGTAATAAACATAAGGGATTTAGAAATATGCTATAAGTGCGGTTGCGAAATCTCTCTACTTGGTACTTGTATTAGACATTTGTTATCGTGATACCAGAAATAATGTTAAAAGGAAGTGATTTAACTTTATAGTTACTGTAACTTTATAATACAAATCCTAAAGGGTAAAATCCTACTAAGTCTACCAAAATAATATACTAAACTATACCTCTGTCTGCTATTTCTGGCCAATGTACTCTTTTATGGATTGGTGCTTTGATGGCCTCTGCTTCACCATTGTTTCTTACCAAGTCCACTAGCTCAGCTACCCAATGAGTCCCTGCATAAATACGGTGCATATTCTAAAATTAGTTCACTGTCTATCATTTTTGTGATCTGCATGTTTGAATGTTGGTATTTAAAAAAGGGTATTTGTACATTAATATTTGGAAAACATACCTGATCTCAAGTACGATGCTATCAATATGTCATCCTCTCTTATTGGTAGTTTCTTCAAGTTTTTAATAGTTGGCCAATCAAAAAATGTTGAAAAATAACAATCGTGTATAATCTCGTATTTTATTTTACTTGCATCAAGTACTGTTTTCGGTGCATCAGCCATCATCCAAAAAAGCTAATAATGTATTCTTATTAGAATAATCAGAAATTGCTATTATATTACACAATACTAAAGAGAATGTGTATGTCTAATATGTCTGCATTCCCAACTGAAATGTTTGCTCATGTAATGATGAAATGTAATTTATTGAAAGTTCATTCTACAGTACTTGAGCTTGACTTTGCTCATATTATCTCATTTCAGCATGGTAATAACAATGATGTTTAGAGGTTATGTTACTATGACATGAACTATGCCTGAGTTCCCCCATATAGGTCAACCTTTGGAGGCTCTATATTTGAGCAAGGCATGTTGACATAATTAATGTATTACATATACCTTTATTCCCATCGCTACTTTGTATCAGTGATTTCACACATCTCTGTGCGAGTAGAAATTGATTGAAATGAAACCTACGCCTAGCTACCGCCTAGCTACCACATAGACGCACGCACTAAACATGCTTCGTTTAGATGTCTCAAGCTTTGCTACGATCTGGCATGAAGATCTGACACGAGGTCAGACGCTTTCATCAATATCTGACACTCTTCATTACTCTTTAATGAAGGACTCTCAAGCTTTTTGACGAATTGAGACACTTTAATCAAGGATTGAAACACTTTGATAAGCTTTGTTACGCTTGACAAGCTTCCTGACGCTCTCTCACACTCTTTCACGCCGTGCAACAAACATCATGTCTTCTTCAGATAGGTCATGGTCTGGTCTATCTGGAATTTCTGGATCTTGTTGTTCTGCCATCGTCTTCTCGAATCAAAGATGCAATGTTTTAACTGAGCTTATCAGAGCGTAACATCACTTAGGAGATCGTGATATTTTTTGAAAAGTAAACAAAAATGACGGCGCTTTGCTCGCCGATTTGAAGCATGGCATTCACCGTTGGTGTGAACGTAGCTTTAAAAATGTTTGGCGGTCTTGCCGAATATCCCGGTTTACTCTGAGCTTTTTTACGACCTATTGCGACCCCGACGCTTTAATCAAGCTTTGTTACGCTTTGGTGCCGCTTTACAAGCCACTTTAAATCGCCATCAAAGCGCCATTGGTGTGAACGTAGCTTTACAGACCGTGAAGAGAATGGGGTCCCTGCTTTGAACCAAGCTCTGTTAAGCTTTCCTACGCTTTGCTGAGCTTTGTCACGGTTTGTTAAGCTTTGATACGCTCTCGGCGCTTTAATCAATTTGTAACGGAGCGCCCAAAATTTTCAAACAATTTTAAAATTTTTGGCGCTCTTGCCGAACATCCTGCTTTACTTCGAGCTTTTCTACGACCTATTACGACCCCGACGCTTTAATCAAGCTTTGTTACGCTATGTTGCCGCCTTACAAGTCGCTTTAAAGCGCCATGCTTTGGTGCCGCTTTGCTCGCCGATTTAAAGCGTGGCATTTGCCGTTGGTGTGAACGTAGCTTTATGTAAATCATATCTTTTTGATGTTTGTGACATGCATTTTATTGGAGAGAAGGTAATACATTTACTCTTAACATGCAGCATTTTTACAAATCTCATTGTGAACAGACATTTATATATGTTTGCACTCGGGAGTTGAATTAAACTCCAAAGAAACATCATCCTTAAAAGTCAATATAAAATTCAACGTCCATTAGGCCCAGGGATAAGGTTGAAACAGGAATATTGGCTGAGTTAAGCATAAATTGAATTCTCCTTCCTATTTCTCGTTGTGACTTTTCTAGAACAACTATATCATTCTCTTGATAGTTGATGATGTAGGCACCGTATGTCATTGTAAGTATAGAATACGTTTTGTATATTTGACATGCAGATGTTGGGATTAGGCCTCCACATCCACTACCTATACCAAGTAGGGCATTGTACTGCGATTTGCCCTTCTTGCATTTATCTTGTACATTATCAGAAATATCATTATTTGTTGAAATTGGGATTCCAACATGCTTTACATAGTCAGATTTTGCAATTGGTTTGCCTCTGATATTAAGTTTCTGAGTTGCACCTAGCTCGATTTAACTATTAAAAATGAGAAATGGACACTTATCGGGTGGAACTTCATATCTCCACTGATTACTCTGAGCATGAAGTAGATCAAGTAGCACTTGCATGTTTTCAAAGGAATTTGACAAGATGCACATGTCATCGGCATTATGAAGGACTAACACAACTTAACGAACCTATACTGGATCCCTTATTTATCTCAATCATGGAGTCAATTATATCTGCCATATACAATTGGTAAAATAGCATGGACAGGACACCACCTTGCACCTGTAAAATTGGAAATAAATCAGAGTATTTTACGCCTACTAGGACTGAGCAACTATACGGCTTATATAGCATATACAAAATTTTCGAAATTTTACCACTAATACCGCAGTTGTGAAGTTTACCAAGAAGGCCATCTATCCATACAGAATCGAAAACTTTTTGAATGTCTGTTACTATTAAAACTACCATTTTACATTGCTCTACATTCTCAGCAATAGTTTCTTGTACAAGAAGTGATGTATGGATGGATGAACATTTCTCGACAGCTGCTCCTTGTAATTTGGGAATTACGCTTAGAATAGGTGCCTTTATATGAGTTAAAATATCTTAAAATTGACTTCCGTACAAATGCTGCACTAGATATGTAATACAGCATAATATGTATGCATAATGTGTAATATATTTGAATGGGACAAAACAAAGCTATTTATCTTGTAGTTGATTCATCCTTGCTTTAATTTTGTAAATTTTAAGTTGATTCTAGGTTTGGTATATAAATAATGCTTAACAGTTAAATAACCTTTGCCAAATGAGCTGACATAAAAATTTATGAACATTTTAAACTGCTTCAAAAAAGGTGTTAAAAACCTGATTGTATGATAATCTTTAAGATAAATTAAGGTGATCTTTTTTACCTGACTGACTTTGTATACCTTATTTAAAAACCTGGTTTTGTTTCTACGCAGTAAACCTGGTTTTGTTTCTACGCAGTGGTGGACTTGAAATATTACAAAAAGGGGGTAACTGTTAAAAATGAAGTTTTCTTTTCAAAAATGATACATGTTATTAGACATGAGGTTCAGAGGTTTCATTAGCAGCAGGCAACAGGCGATATTCACCAGTTGTTTTCATAAAATAGCCTGTTGTTTTTAAGGACTCAACTTTCCCATGTTAAATTTATGGTTTGCATTAATTTTGCCCATTGTTTTCATTTATTTAGTCTGTTGTGGGAAATTCTGGTGAAACCCTGTGAAACACTCATTCATGCCCACTCACCGTGTCTAAAAGTGATATTACTTTATATTTTGGAAATCAGTATTTTTGCATATTTCTTCATATTATTTATGCAGTAATAAACAGAACATAATGACTGTAAGAATATAATGTTCAGGTAGAACTTCAATGTCAACCAATTTGTTTTCTACAATTCAGATTTTTTTTAAATAAATCTAGGTGAAAGAGGTACTGATATATACCAGTATATATGTGAAAAATAGAAATAATGACCGTTTATCTCTGAAAATTGCTATGTAATGAATAACTTAACCACATATTTAAATTTTGAGTTGTGGGAAGTGGGAGTGTAACCTTTTGATGGCTTTGGTTATTTCAAACCCTTGCTTTAATCGATTACACCATGCAGCTTTTGAACAATTAGATGAAATTTTTCAAATAAACAAATATCGATGTTTTATTCTGTTCTCGTTTTTGGCGTTAGCGATGCATTAACAGACTGCGCATATAAACCACTCTGTTTAAATTTGAATAAATAAATAGACATTGAACTTGTTTTCATATTGATGTTTTCCAGATGTTGACAAAGCCGTAGAGTCATTCAGTCAACTACAAGATCTGGACCCATTTAGGCTAGAACACATGGACATATACTCTAACCTTCTCTATGTTAAGGTATATCTTATAAAATACTTTTAATTGATATTAAAATTGATATTTGTTAAAGAAAATATTTTCTGCAATTTACCATTTCTCCTGCCCCAATTATTTACATATCCATAATCCTTCTTTTTGAGAATAATCGTAAATTTTGTCCCATCCTGCCAACTTTTTAACCAATTGATACTTAAAAATATTTTCTGCGATTGATCATTTCTCCAATTATTTGCGTATTCATGATCCTCCTTTTTGACAATAATAGTTTGCCAAATTTTAGGCATGCTCGACATAGATTTTGTCCAAATGTTATTCTCAGGAGAGGTACTCCTTTATTCTAACAATTCAACACATTCTAAATACAAATATAAGTTTGTGTTTGAATCAACTTTAAGATTCACTGTGGGACTGAATGTATATGACTTTGATTTCAGGAGATGCGACCAGAACTTGCTAAACTAGCGCACCATTGTTGTGATATAGACAAGTACAGAGTAGAGACCTGCTGTGTCATAGGTAGGCTAATGTAACACTGTATTCTATAATGTAGGCAGAGAGATAATGTTGAAATTATGTTTTTGGAATATGGTTGAAGGTTTTGAGATATGAGGTTGGCAATATGGGGTTGAATTCTTTGGATATGGTATTGAATGCCTCAAATAGCGTTAAAGGTCTGAGATCTGAGGTTGAAGGCTTGTAATATGTGGTTGATGGTTGAATATATCATAACTTAATATGTTATAAATATTTTCTTGTAGGTAACTATTACAGTTTAAGAGCTCAACATGAAAAAGCTGTACTGTATTTCCAACGTGCCCTGAAGCTTAATCCTCATTACTTGTCTGCCTGGACCTTGATGGGGCATGAATATATGGAAATGAAAAACACACATGCAGCTATACAGGCATATAGACAAGCTATAGGTAAGTTACATGCAGCTATACAGACATACAGACAAGCTTTAGGTAAGTTACATGCAGCTATACAGCCATACAGACAAGCTGTAGGTAAGTTATATGCAGCTATACAGCCATACAGACAAGCTGTAGGTAAGTTACATGCAGCTATACAGCCATACAGACAAGCTGTAGGTAAGATACATGCAGCTATACAGCCATACAGACAAGCTATAGGTAAGTTACAGGCAGCTATACAGGCATATAGACAAGCTATAGGTAAGTTACATGCAGCTATACAGCCATACAGACAAGCTGTAGGTAAGTAACATGCAGCTATACAGCCATACAGACAAGCTGTAGGTAAGATACATGCAGCTATACAGCCATACAGACAAGCTGTAGGTAAGATACATGCAGCTTTACAGGCATATAGACAAGCTGTAGGTAAGATACATGCAGCAATACTTAGAGGTTATGTCACTATGACGTGAAATATGCCTGAGTTCTCCCAATATAGGCCGACCTTGGGAGGCTCTATATTTGGGCAAGAACGAAGGCATATTTCACGTCATAGTGACATAACTGATGTATTACATGCCTTTGCCATGGTTACTTTGTATCAATGACGTGACGTCATGATATTATCATGGTTATTAAAGAAATCTAATATCAAAACGAGGTAAGCGGGCTATATCGGGGTAATCGGGCAATATCGGTGGATATAGCTCGCTAACTTTCCCATTGACTTCCATACAAATGCTTCGCTAGGTATGTAATACAGGCATATAGACAAGCTATAGGTGAGATACATGCAACTATACATGCATATAGACAAGCATACGGAGAAAAATCTTTTGAAAAATTTCCAAAATGATCTGGGAACATTTAGTTTTGCTTCGCTTTGATGTTAAATACTCGTTGCAAAATATTTTACAATATTGATATTTTTGTAGAAGTAAATAGACGTGACTACAGAGCTTGGTATGGTCTAGGACAGACATATGAAATATTGAAGATGCATGCTTATTGTCTCTACTACTATAGACAGGCTCAACAACTAAGGTAAATTGAAAAGTGCAATTTCTATTCAGGTCATATATCATACTGTTTATTCATGAATGTATATTTATTATGTCACCACCACAAGTGATGACATATTGTAAGTGTCCAACTTTTTGTGGTAGCGGCTTGTGTTGGGTAGTTGGTGTTTGGGATCTGTAACAAATGGCTGGTGGTGACATTTTAAATGTAAATGCCTTGTTGTTATCTGTTAATGTTTCACGTTGATTATTCATATGATATTCAATGCATAAACCTGACATGGCTATTCTATAATTATGACTCTCTTTCATTTCAGACCCAATGATTCCCGAATGTTTGTTGCGCTTGGTGAGTGCTATGAAAAGCTTGAAAAATTGCAAGAAGCGAAGAAATGTTTCTGGAAGGCGCACTCTATTGGAGATGTTGAAGGAACTGCACTCATTAAACTAGCAAAGTAAAGTCATGTTTTTTTAGTAAAGTCATGTTTTTTAATATGTCATGTTTTTTAGTAAGTCATGTTATTTTACTGATTAGTCATGATTTGGCAAATAAGTAAATAAGTCTCGTTTTAAACGTTTAAAAAAATCATTGTTTAGTTTCAGAAAAATAAAGTAATCCATGGTTTCTGATTTGAAATGTAAAGCACTATTAAAAATTTTTCTAATTTCAAAAATAAACTGCATGTTTGATACTTATATATTGTAGGCTTTATGAAATATTGAATGAAAAGGACTCAGCTGCTGCAGCATATACAGAATACATCAATGAGACTGAGCGCCAAGGGGTAAGCTTTACTATCCTATCTATTGGTGCTGAAAGTTTTGTTTATACTGTGCTTTAAACTACAGTGGAGCTTGGGTTTTATGTACGGTGTCTGGTTGTAAGTGTTCAGCATCCAGTGGTTGGTCATCTGCATCTGTAACAAATGTCTGGTGTGACATTTGGCATCTTTATGTCTAGTTGATTATGTGACCACCACAAGTGGTGGCATATTGTTTAGTCTCCAACTTTTTGTGGATGGTGTTTGGCTGTTGGTGTTCAGCATCCAATGGTTGGTGTTCAGCATCTGTAACAAATGTCAGGTAGTGACAATTTGCATACCATGTGTTGTGCCTCATTACCATGTGTTGATGCCTCATTACCATGTGTTGATGCCTCATTACCATGTGTTGATGCCTCATTACCATGTGTTGTGCCTCATTACCATGTGTTGATGCCTCATTACCATGTGTTGATGCCTCATTACCATGTGTTGATGCCTCATTGCCATGTGTTGTGCCTCATTACCATATGTTGATGCCTCATTACCATGTGTTGATGCCTCATTACCATGTGTTGATGCCTCATTACCATGTGTTGATGCCTCATTAGCATGTGTTGATGCCTCATTAGCATGTGTTGTGCCTCATTACCATGTGTTGATGCCTCATTACCATGTGTTGATGCCCCATTAACATGAGTTGATGCCTCATTACCATGAGTTGATGCCTCATTACCATGTGTTGATGCCTCATTACCATGTGTTGATGCCTCATTACCATGTGTTGATGCCTCATTACCATGTGTTGATGCCTCATTACCATGTGTTGATGCCTCATTACCATGTGTTGATGCCTCATTACCATGTGTTGATGCCTCATTACCATGTGTTGATGCCTCATTACCATGTGTTGATGCCTCATTACCATGTGTTGTGCCTCATTACCATGTTACTCTATATACATGTAGCACCTAAATCTGATAGAATTTGTATGTAATCTACATTCTCCTATCGTCCAATGAGGAATAAACTGAAATAGTGTTGTTCAGAGTTGCAAATCCCTGGTCGTATGGTCATAATTTTACGACTTTTTTAACTTACGACCAATAAATTGAAAATACTTGCCTTTGGACGAGTATGACGTGGTCCTGAAACCTGTAGTATTAAATCGGGACATTAATTCCCTTACTAAAAAATGCATCAAATGTGTATAAATAGCAAGAAACACCTCCGAAGTCGTTCTGATGTTTTCACTTATCTCATACCTTGATTACACTTCTTCGCAATGAGGAGTGTTGATAGCGGACCCGCGATTTCAGGTAGATGGTAATACCCGTTCATACATTTCCTGCTTCACCGTTCGCAAATCGAGTGCATTATCAGTATGACGGGTGTAGAGAAGAAATTAAAAAATCGAGCCGGCATCTAAGTCGAAAAAAGTCGACAATTTGGAAATACTTTTAGATTCTGATAGCACAAGGTAAACGTATAGGGGATAGCAAAGCATGGAGATGTGAAATGCCAATCCCATTCGCGACAGGTTCGTTTTATTAGATTTTAATTGACATTTTGAATCTGATTTTGAAAAGTGAAACTGAAACTACCATCATAGTATCAAATAACGCTTAGAGTATTGAGAATTAACTGAAGTTAAAAATAAGATGAAATGTACACCAACTCAATGAATATGACCAAATAAAAACGTTCATAAATAACTAATATTGATATTGTTAGAGGGAGAGGAAACGTAAAGGACATTAATGGGTTTAAAATCTTGAAAAACCCTAGAGAATTTATGACGATCTTTTAGTGGTAATTACGAACTTTTAGTGAGAATTAGTCATAGTGCAACCTTTTGTGAGAAAAAATGGTATAATTCATATGACCTTTTTTCTTCAAAAGGTTGCCATTTATACAACTATTTGTGTTGTTTGACAATGAGGACATCATAGCATAAATGAATGTTTAAGGAATAACGTTTGGTGATTGAGATTGTAATCTAAATATGAATGAGAACGATTTTTCTGTGTCCATGAATGCAGTGTTGCAATTATTTGACTCTCATGTAAAATTTATATGTAGATAGATTTGAGTCAAATTGACTTGAGTTCAGCCTGACTTTGAATTTTGTTAAATGAATGGCCATATAAAAAGAATAGCTACATAGGTTTGGAGACATTTTAGCTCACTTGAGTGTCTTCACATCTCTTCTTAATAACACCAACGTGCAATGTCATAAATGTCAAATAGCATGGATAGAGACATTTTTAAAATAACCTGGGATTTTACTTGTGTGGAATAAAATTCTCTCAAAAATAGGACCGAATGATTCAGTCAAGTGCAGCTGTGGCTGCAATCATGGGCATTCAATAGTATTCAATTGAACCATGCTGCAATATGGAGGGAAATTTGGGAATTTTATTTTTTGATTTTTGATCGCTAATGACCCCTGGTGTCAATTTTAGGCTCTAAATCCACAAGTAAAGAAAGAGTTTCTATTCGAATGGTGTCATATTGTTAGAAAATAATTTATCTTTAAAATGATATATGATGCATATGGTTTAACATATATCATATAATATTACTCTTCTTTTGGCCCAACCTGTATATATGTAGTCAGTAAGTTCACGGGTAAAATGCTCACTAAAGGCATCACAGGTCATGTCACTTATGTCGGCAGTAGAAAAAATGTTCTTCCATTTATGCTCCATCAATTCAAAAGTCAACCAGCGGTCCATAAAAACGATTCTTTGTATCGTTATCGCAATTATATTCGTAATCAAGGGCTGCATCTACAAATTCTTTCTCAGTGATCCTCCCATCATGGTCAGTATCCATGTAATCAAACTGCAATCTTGCTAAACTTGGATCCAGACCAAGGGCCTTCCACCAGTGTATATACTCAGAGAAATGGATAAAGCCGTCAGAGTTGAAATCAAGAGTCTACAATAAACAAAACCTAGTAATCTAAATGATGTGGTTGATTGCGATATGTGTTAATAGATTTTCTCAAAGGCACATACAATAGAATATCATAATTTGACTTCCATCTTACCTGAAATAATTTGCCATGCAATGCTTTTAGTCTCTCAGAAACCACTTCACTATTCAAAGTGGACCAGACTTCTAATAGTTGTACTTCCCAAGTCTTCTCATATATTCCAGGATTTGCTTGGTCGTAACCAGTCATAAACTTTCTGAAGAATTGTATGATATTATCTGATGCAGCTCCTTTCAAATTGGCTGAAACAGTTTTTGAATCATGATCATAAGCATAACAGTAACACATAAATCATCATTCTCATTAAATCCTGATTTCTCCTCTTGATTTTTTTTTTTTTTTTTAAACTTTGATTTGATCTTCTCTTGGTTTTTATGTCACCACCAAAAAGTGGTGGCATATTGTTATGGTCTCTATTTTCTAACAGTGTCAAGATATAGGGAGAGAAAATATTCTATCATAGTAAGAGCATTCAAGACACAGTTAGCAAGTGTAACACAGGCCTTGAGTTTATTGATTTTCTCCCTATATCATGACATGTATAACTTAACAAATACTATTTAGACTGACTTCAATTTTTTTCAAAATCATCAACAAGTTTTCTGAAATTCAAATCTGACTCTAGATTTAAGATTTGACCTCCAATGACCTTCTCTAGGTCAAAAAAGGTCAACTTGCTTTTCAATTTTTTTGAAATCATCTACAGGTGTAAGTTTTCAGTAGTTCAAATCTGATTTTAGATTTGAGATTATACCTTCAATGACCTTCCTAAGGTCAAACAAGGCATTAACATGACAAAATGTCACCACCTAGTTGCTCACAATATTATGAGTTCAATCTTAAGTCAGATTTGAATTTCTGAGAACTTGTAAATGATTTTGAAAAAATAAATTGGTCAATTTGAAGCAAGTAGAAAAAAGACCTCTTTTTGACCTTGAGAATGTCATTCAAGGTCAAATCTGCTTGACCTTGAGAAGGTCATCAAAGGTTAGATCTAAAATCTAAAATCAGATTTTAACTTCTGATAACTTGTACATGGTGTCCAACCCAAACGCTGGTACATGCATGACGGAGCATTTCATTTATACAGAAACGCTGCAGAGCAAAATAAAATGGCGGCTAGGCTAATGAAGATCCCACTATGACCGTAAGTATTGTTTCACTCGTTTATCTTACATATCATACGTTATGGTGACATATTATGTACCATTCGATGAACAATACGCTGAGCAAAGATCTTATTTATTCAACTTCTGGTGGTAAACTGTTATTTGCTTGATCAAAGCTCCGTAGTGTGGATCGAACGAATCTGAAGTTGATGAATTGACCACAAATTATGAATTAATCTAGTATTTATATGAAAACGTCAATCTTTCTGTCAAAGTAGAAGATCACAAACTTGTACTAGTATATTCTCATTTTCTAAAATCCCAGTCCAAATCCATGACTTGTTCTCGAGAAATCGCGCGTTTCCTTGAAACGCTCCGTCGATTTAGGACACAATTTTAGAAACGCTCTTACCATTTTGTTTTGATATTATTTTCAGATTATTAGAGAAGAGTTCGAAATCGAATCTATATCTCAAAAACTTGTTTTACTTGTTAGGCAAATTGAAACGTCCCAACCTGGTGGTGCTAAACGTGCAACTAGCCGACCTAAGCCTACATAAGATGATGTTATGCCTACATGTGTGCTAAAATATAAACTATTGACAAAAACAAAAAGTTGATATCTGAATTAATCTTTCTTCTTTTGATGCCAATGGGTATAATAGATCTTTTCTTTCTCTTCCTGAAAAGGAAAGTCAAGCTATTTATTTGCTAAACAGATCTAGACTACCGGAGCGTTTCCAGTTCACTGTGTTTATCAGGTCGCAGCGATTCTTGAATATGAGAATGTCATCATTTTTAAGACTGGATTTCCGATCATCAAATCACAATTATGATAATGTGTGGTGTGTTGAAGCATTGAAATTTGACCAAAATATATGTTGGTGCTCTAATCTTGGCTCAACTAACCACATGTCTCGACAAAAGGGGTTTTGACCAGTAGAATAACAAATATGTTTATAAATTTTGATAACTATACTGCTTCGTACAGCTCCTCCTAATGGAATGTACTAAAAACCCTTCGACCCTTCGACCCTGCGACCTACGACTTACAGCGTGTCAAGAATTTTTGAAACATATTTTTATAAAAACCCTTCGACCTTCTATTTTCTATCTTTCTTTCTGTCCGATCAACAATAAGTACAGTTATACAAGAAATGTAAACGAAGTGAAAATATTCCCAAAAATTTTCCGAAAGGCATGTCATTTCCAGAAGTTATGACACGTTATATTACCGAACATGCGTGAAAATGGAACGTTTGTTCGATCATTTTACGAGAGCTAAATAAAATGCGAACATCCAAGCATCAGGTATGACTCCACCATTGTTTGGTGTTCTACTACTTGCCACAATCAACCTCACTGCCAGGATATCAAACAAGGCCCATTTTCCATCAAACTTGGCCCAACTACTATCAGGCGGATGTCCTTGAAAAATCAAGTTGACATGGTTACCAAAACCTAATAGTTGCCATGGCAACCATAGAAATGAGTTAAAAAAGATAGCAAAAAAGCACCCAAACCCACCATAATGGCACTAATTTATAAAATATTTCTAGATATACAAATTTTCTTAAACTTTGATATCATCTAGAACACTTGTCAAAAAATTTGGGGGTAGGTTTACCACTTCGATTTTTTTCTAGGCTTGGTCAAAGTAAAACTACGAAAAAGCACTAATTTTACTTTTGAAACACCTATTATCGCCCAAATGGCTATTATATTTTTTCAAGGTCAAGGTCGTCATGCTAAAAGTTGAATTACGGAGATAAACCTGCTCTTCAGACAATGTTTGGTAGCTTTTCTTCACCACAAAACAAAGATCTTTGCGCTGGTATGCCAATTTCCATGAGATAATGTACGGGAAGGAGGAACTGTGTCTTTAAATGTCATCAAAACTTTGTGCCAACACGTGAAAAGGCCATTTTCGCACTACTTTTGGTGTAATAATGCCATCGAACAAACATTCCAATTCACCCATGTTCGGTAATATAAGGTGTTATTACGGTAAATACCACTTCCGGGTGTTTTTTAAAACTTTAAAAACGAAGCTATGCCAACTTCAATGGTGTGTATAGTAGGTTTAAGTGTATGTACTGTGGGCATTTGAGGTATGTATGTAAAGCAGGGGCCAAGTTCTTTTTAAATGTGCCATTTTTAGAAAAAAATCTCAAGAATATGGTCCCGTAAACAGGAACTACTTTATTCGTTAATTTTCATCGGTGAAGCAGAGATTTTACCTAAAAATAAGTCCCTATGTTGGCGTAGTGATATTTAAAAATCGAGACCCAAACCCTATGTTAAATATAGTGTCGAGATGAAGGTTATGTATAGGGGATTGCAGAAATATAGTCATTGTATGGGCTAATTCGTTCGAAAATGGCGATATGTACCCCAGAAGGTGTGAGTACCGTAATCAAACACCAAATTCGAAAATTCAGAACAATACTTTACACATATGGCGTTCGTGATCAACTATAAAACGCTTACCCCCCATAGTGTTAGATATCAAAATGTACCTGTTCATATAGGGGTTCGATTGATCTACATCAAATATAGGGAGTCCAGTTACTTTTTGAGATATCAGCGTCCATTTATTGTAACTCACGTTTGCTACCATTTCCTCAATTCTGAGATGACAGGCAACGCGTAGTAAACATGCTCACGCCAGAACTATATTTTGACCTACATCGCTATTTTCGTAATTTAAATGAAAGTTGAACTCCTCCTCTATATTTTGATACAAAATAGTGGCATACTAGGTACCCTAGAAGTCAACTATGGCGTTATTTAGTACAAAACCACAAGTTTTTAAATGGACTATATAGGGGTCATACCTTTTGGCGGATGGAAATGGAACCTCATACCAGAACTTGAATTTTGTGATTTTTTTCAATATTTTTCAATGATTTACCGTAGTGACACCCTAACGTATCATAACTTCCGGAATGACATGCATTTCGGAAAATTTTTGGGAATATTTTCACTTCATTTACATTTCTTGTATAACTGTACTTATTGTTGATCGGACGGAAAGATAAGCTGATGTAGTTACACTAGAGGTCGTTTACTACCATTTGGAAGGCACGTGAGGGTCCCATTCATCAGGTAACACTCATATGTCGAAGTTATGTTCTTGCTATTTTCTCTAAATCAGAGGTCGAAGGGTTTTTCAATAAAATATATTCCAAAAATTCTTGACACCCAGTAAGTCACAGGGTCGAAGGGTCGTAGGTCGAAGGGTTTTTAGTACATTCCCCTCCTAATTGCTTCAAACGTCAATAGCCACGTCATACCTCTTATTACCATTATTGGGGAAATCGTCAGATGGCTCATCATTCCCGCCTGCCAGTTTTTCTACTCCGGAGTGTTTCTTTGTTTAGTTTCATTTGAAACGCTCCGTCGTGCATGTAAGAGCGATTGGGTTGGACATGATGTTGTAGATGATTTTGAAAAAAATTGGTGAATTTGAAGCAAGATGAAAAAATACCTTTTTGACCTTGAGAATGTCATTGAAGGTCAAATCTATATGTTGAGAACTTGTATATGATTTTGGTCAAATCTTAAATATAAAGTCAGATTTGAACTTCTAAAAACATGTAGATGATTTTGAAAAAAACAGTATTTGTTAAGTTATCGAAAGTTGTAAGTATTTGTTACAGACGCCGATCGCCAACAGCCAACCACCAACCGCCTAAAAAAAAACCCGGAGACCATAACAATATGTCACCACTTTTTGGTTGTGACATAAAAAGGTTAAAAAGGAGGTCTTTTTTCAACTTGCTTCAAATTGACCATTTTTTCAAAATTATCTACAAGTTCTCAAAATTTCAAATCTGACTAGGGGAAATGGTCCTATCACCGCACGGGTACTCTGGAAAACTACTGACGATTTCAAATATGATAACTTCAACCTACTTTGAGAATATGAGACGAAAGATCAACCTTTCTTCTGAAATTTAAGTAGTGTTTGACATTTCTCAATCTCCGAACGCTAACACTTTAAGACCCCTTAGACTCGCATGTGCGGTGGTCCTAATTATCGCACAGTCGTCCTAATTATCGCACAGTTGTGTTTCAGATGTCATTTCATGATACTGTACACATTTCTCTGTTTATAACAGATACATACA